TTTGGCTGTGTGCAAGTGGGTCGATATGACACACGGGGGTGGGGGCAGCCGCCGCTCAACCTACATCCACGTGGGCGGCCTTGTACGCAAGAGGTTATGAACAGGGGGAGTTAAAAGGAAGAAGATAAAAAAATGAATTCACTTTTCTTTTCTCTTTTTTTTCTTTCCTTCTTTCATTTTTTTCGCATTTGCGCTCTGATATTTTGTGACAATATATACATAACTTTGTGAGGATATATACTTCGACGTTGCTAGCTCTCTGCTTTTGTAGATGATGCGGCGAGCGTCGGGCATGTACTAGCAGGCTCTTTCTTTGGTTATGGTAGAATATACTTTTTCTAATTCTCCCTTCTGTCCGTCTTCTTATTCTTTTTGCTTTGCTCTCCCCATTGTTGGGGTATTTCGTTTTACGGACCTACTGTATGGTTCCGTTTTTTCAAGTACGGTTATGGCAGAATTGTTGGTATTTTTGGCACCTTTGTCTGCATCCCGGTTGGTTTTGTCTCGTTGTTCGGTCCACGTGGCGGTGTTTTTATGTGGGTTGTTCCATCCACGTGGCGATGTTTTCATGTGGGACTGGTCATCCGTTTTTTTTTCCTTTTGGCATCCTAGTTGGTTCGTTCCCGTTGTTCGGCCTAGCCACGGGAGGCGGTGCTTTTGGGTGGAAATCGTCAGCTGGGATTGTCTTTATATTTTTTTTCACGTTGGTGGTATCTCAGTATTTCAGTTTGGACTAGCGAAGCATGCGTCGAAATAGGAATACCAACTTCTTGATGACGAATAAGGCCATCTGCTGTGTATAGATATGTATCTGGGATTCCTTTCTTGGCAGACGAGTGTTTTGTCCTGGGTGGTCTTGTCCCGTCGTTTGGCCTGTGAAGGAGGGGTGGTGCTTGCATGTGGGACTTGTCATCTAGGATCCGTTTTTTTGGTGCTGTTGCTTGTTGCCCCCTGTTGTGTTGTATTTGGCTGTTCAGTTCCTCTTTTCCTTGCCTCTTTGCCCTTTGGCTGTGTGCAAGTGGGTCGATATGACACACGGGGGTGGGGGCAGCCGCCGCTCAACCTACATCCACGTGGGCGGCCTTGTACGCAAGAGGTTCTGAACAGGGGGAGTTGTAAGGAAGAAGAAAAAAAAATATTTTTTTCTTGATTTTTTTCAGGGGGAGTTGTAAGGAAGAAGGAAAAAAAATGAATTTATTTTTTTCTTTTTCTTTTTTTAGTTTTTTCTTCGCTTTTGCGCTCTGATAACTTTGTGACGATACGGATGAGGAAAGCTAAATCTACATGAGCTGTATGATGCATTGCTGAAAAAACGCCTGTAATTATCTGGAACCAGCGAATTCCAGCAAGAGATCCAAAACCCCACCAATAGCTGAGATTGCTAGGACTTGAATAATCTACCAAATGATTGTTGAACTGATGTCCATGGCTGGTGGTTAGCAATTGGCCTTGTTATTCTTAACTCCTTCACTTTGAATAAGGTCTTGCGGCCATGACGTGTGTGAGCGGCTCTAGATGTGGCTCAAGCCCTGGAGATAGCTTTACCTCCGGAGCTTTCATCATCCTATTCTGACTCTCTTCTCACCTCATGGAGGCGATAGAGATGATGGAGACTGTGGAGATGATGGAGATAATGATGGCGATGGAGATGGTGGCGGTGATGGAGAAGATGGAGACGGTAGAGAGGTGAGACAATGTAGAAGATGGAGACAATGGAGACAATGGAGGCGATGATGGAGAGCACGGAGGAGACCATGGAGGCTTGATGGTTTATGAGGAGTTTTGATCGCCCATCGTCATTCTTTTGCGCTCTCTCTCTCTTTCTCCGTTTTAGATCTTGTGGATCGTTTACTTGCATTAACCACCCTTTATGCCGCTACATATGTAGGAGCGTTAACCCATTTTCTCATCTGGTATAAATGTCGGGGGGCTTGCATCACAGCTACAGATATGGAGAACATATTCTTCAATCTTTGAAGTGGTCTTCTCTGCGGCTTTGGTTTGAAGAACAAGAAGATAAAATTTAGAATTTTGTGGGGGGAAAAAAGAGCTCCGGGAGCAAGAGTGCATGGTAGTTAGAACGACTGGCTTTGTTTTTTTACAACATTACCCGTGCGTTTAAACCCTTTGGTTTAAGCGAAGATCTTTGTTTTTTCCTCTTATTTTCACAGCAATTTGCGACCTGACAGATTTGAATGTTTGATTGCTCTGCAGGCAAAAGCTCAACAAGAGAATTCCTGAAGAGAATGCGACACGAAAGGAGGTTCTGCAACAGCTAAAGACTCTGGTTGCTGTATGTGACACCATATCTACATCGCCTCAGTCTCCCTCTCTCTCTCTCTCTCTGTGGCCCCACTCCCCCGCCCGCCCCCCCTCTCTCTCACATACTCTCTCCTTTTTTCCTGCCTTTTTTCCTGCTCTCTGCTTCTCTCCTCTTCTTCTCTGTCCTTCTCTCTCTCATTCTCTCTCTCTCTCTCTCTCTCTCTCTCTCTCTCTCTCCTTCTCACTCTCCTTCTTTCTCTCCTTCTCTCTCCTTCTCTCTCCTTCTCTCTTTCTGATATCACTTGTTTGTTGGTGATTCTGATATTTGTTTCAAAAATAAAAAAATGAACTCCAAGGAAAGGAAAGGGTGTGTACTGCACACTTGCAGTTCACGATATATGTTACGATCCTGGCCAATTTTGGAGTACACATTCATCAGAAAGTACAATACCGTCCAATTGCAAAAAGAAATGAATGAACTTGAGAGGAGAGGGAGGGAAGAAGAATTTGAATTTGAAAGAGCGAGGCCAATCGCTACACGTCCATGCCTCAGTGATAAACAGAACAGCACCTGCACGGACACTAAGCTCAACGGGCACATTCCCCGACGCGTTTCGCCTGGCTGCGCACCAGGACTTCTCAAGGGGCATCCACTCTCCCGCATCCACCGTGGCGATCCTTCCCAGAGCAAAGAGGGCCGTTCTGGCCTTGCCCGCAGTCATATATCAGGCCCAGCCTCCGCGTCCGCACCCGCGGCCCACGAAGCTGCAACTGACTGGCGGGTGTCGACTAGACTCACTCGTAACTGACCTGGCGTGCACGTAGACAAGCCCTTCCTTCCAACAACCTCACGTGTGCACCTCCACACGCGCCAAGTATTCAAATTTGCACGTGCACTGGCTGTTGGTACGGGCTCCCCGTTGCGAAAAGGGCTCGTTAGCAGCTCTAGCTTCCTATATCTCAGGCCAGATTTATGCACTAGATTCATGCCAGTCTGAACCCTCCAGACAACAAACCGGTTCCGACACTACTGGCCCCGGTGACGCTAGACTCGTCCTACTGCCTATTATCCTGCTACCATAGTATACACCCGGTACCGTGTGGCACCGGCCTACCTAGTTACTACCTCGTATTCCTTCCTCGTCTACCCCTGCCTCCTGTCTCTCCCCCCAGTACGCGTCAGCTACCAAACTGCACCTCCTTTTACATCCCGGGCCCATCTTATCCTGCTATTAACCTACAGCCCGGTTTACCCTTTCTGGGGTCTCTTATCGTACTCTACTTGTACAACCCAGTCGTAACTGGGACCTACCGCCCCGTCTCTCGCCCAACCCTGCTCACTGGCTACACCTAGCTATCCACAATGTGGTACATGGCCGCTTCCCCATTCCCTCTACAGCCCCTTCCCTTTTAGCAACCGTTTAGTCTCACTGCTCTTCTGCTTCACCTCGAGGTGCTCGATCTTCAGTGCTCCAACCAGCTGTTCGGTCAGCACCTTCATCGCTGCCCCGAACGAACCGGTGGCTCTGGCGAATACCGTCAGAGCATTGGAGAAGAGCGCAGGGGGGTAGCTCAATGCTAATGGAGAGCGTCGCTGGGACCCTCGTTGCTGGATCACTAGCATGGTGCTTGATCCTATGTAGTGCAGCCACCACCGCACCGGCCTTCACTCGCTTATCAGAATATGAAGAGAAGTCTTGGAAACATCTGAAGACAAGGGGCTCCTCCAGCGTGGCTCCTTCATTTTTATGTCTGGGGCGAATGGTGAACGCGACCGGACCTGGTAAAGCTGCCGCCCTCATTCCCAGGAAATCCCAGGAGTTGTAGCCATCATCAGTTCGTATCAGCACCAGCTGCTTCCCATATGCCTCCGCAAATTCCTGATGGATAGCTTTCGCTGCCTCGATACTCCGGCAGTCATACATGTCACATGCCACTGCTACTGTGACGTCATCAACCAATCTGACCCCGTGCACCAGCTTCTGATCCCCGTACACCAGCTTCTGATGAGCCCCCAGCGAGGTTATGAAGTCAACCTCCTGCTTCGCGCACATCACGCACGCTAGCGAGGGGCTGGAACTCTTCCCCATCGGTATCCCTACAGCCTGCTTAAGGATCTCTGTCCTGCACATGACGTACGTGTTGTCCAGTTCAAAGCTGACCATTCGCCGGATCTGGCTAAACTTGACAACCACATACCTTGGTCCAAGGCTCCTCTGGTTGAGAACCACAACCCGGCCTCGCCTACTAAGGCTCATCCTGGAAACACCTTTCACCTCCCACTGCTGCAGCAGCCAATCTACAGCTAGGGCTATCGCATGGTGTGGCAGCGACGTGAACATCTCCTTGATGTCAAAACTAGCCATCAGGGCCATCGATCTTTCTCCGAACAAACTGAGTTTCCGTCCAGCCATTTCCAGATTTTCTTTCAGCAACGCTGTAGCCTTGAGGTTGAAGTGCCTGGCTTTAGGTACTTTTTCAAGCAGGAAGTTGAGCGCGCGTGCTAGCCTTCTCCCTGCGGTCTTAGCACCTTCCGTACAAGCTGGCGCAATGGGCCTCCACCTCGTCAGGTCCTTATGCTTGGGCAGGACATACGCTTGTCCAATCTTGGCTGCCAGGTTCCAGGCCCCAATTGCGTCAAGGCCTAGTCTTCTGAACTCGGTCTTAATCTGCATCAGTACATCATTCTCAGACTTATCTGAAATCTTCTGGTAAGCAGCATTCTGGTTGAACATCAACTGGAGACCGTAGTGGTATGTGGAGGGACACATGACTACCATGTCCCCAGGATTCCTGTCCACTGGGACCACCACCAAGTGGCTCATCGTTGCCGCTAGCTCGCGCACTTGCTTTTCTGAGCACGCCAGTCTCGTCTTTGCTCGTTCTGATATGCAATCCTGAAAACAGAGTTGGTCTATCATCTGGATCTGGTCTCTCTTCATAACCGCCTTCAAGGATCGCTCCACTGCCTGTTGCACCTCTGCCTGCCTGGCATCTCCTTCACTCTGCAGGATATTTTTCTCGTTATGCAGAAACGTGGGAACCATTGAACACTGCGCAATGCGTGCCAACACGTGCCCTTCTTCCCTCGGCAGTTGATCCTGACCACAGGTACAGTGTCCACTCTCCATCTTTGCCACCATTCGATGGTTGGCGAGCACCTGCTCCACTGTCTTGTTCTTCTTCCACACAACTCTCACCCGGCGTCGTAACACCGTCTTCAAAACAGGGTGGATTCTGCTCTTGTCCACGCATAGTACCACCGTATCATGTAACTTCCTCTTCTTCAGCCGATGGCTATACTTCACCCCCACGTTAACCTTCATCCTGATATTCACACCGGTCTTCTTCTAAATCACTGCAGCAATTTTCTCTTTGAGGGCCCTTCTCGTAGACTTGGTCTCGAACTCCCTTGCACATCTGTATAAGAACACCAACTTAGGTATGTAGTAACAGCCGCAGATATCCTTTACCTCGACACCTTACGCTCATGGTCTTAACAATCGGTGCCACTTCGAATGTGCCTCCTCTTTCTAGAAGCTGCTTGGACCTTCCCAGAGGATGCTTCCCTCCACCGCCGAAGACGGTCGACGTTCCGAACAGCCTCCGGATAACCGACCATTTCTCACCCCACACCTCGCCGCCGGATGACACAAACTTCAACTTCTTCGTTCCTGCTGCATAAGTTTCCTCTAACCGTTCAGCTAAGCTGAAATACCGCCTCTCCCTGCCCGCACGTAGGAAGGACAAGAGCCCTGTTCTCCCTACTGGCGCAGTTGTCCTTCCCTTCATCCTTTCTTTCTTACCGAGCCTAGCCTTGCGCTTCGCCCCAGCATTTCTACCGACCACGTTAAGTGCCGGCGAGAACCTACCGATGAGAGATTTCTCTAGCACCTGCAGTCCATCCCTGGCTCCCGTCGCTATAGGGAGGACTAGATACTTCTGCCATCCGAAGACTTTCAGAAAAGAATACAACTTGGGGGCATGTCCTTTGTTACCAGACTCAGTACACCGGATATGTTCCCACCACCTTTCCCCCGCTCTGCGAATCATTTGCCCTATGTACATTCTCTTGCACCAGGGTGACAACAAGCAGTACACTGCGGGCCCTCTGAGGTCGAAAAAGTCATGACCTGCGGGGGTAACCATAAGCATTTTCTGAGCCCACGGGACCAAACCACTCACCACCAGCAGAAGGAAAATTGTGATCAGCATTTGCTCAACACTAATCCTCAGATTCGTTAAGCCATATGTCCCCCAGACGGTTTCCCTGAGCCCCATATACAGCACGAGCTTGTCCCAGAGGTACCGCGCCGGGGGGGTACACCGTCAAATAGCATGTGGCACTGTGTCAACTCCCGACAACCTATATTCCTTCTTACTCCCGTCGCCATCCGCTCCTGTGAGCCAACCATCGTACGCCACCCTTGCCTCAGCTGCCGCCAAGTCCTTGACCGCCTGATCCTTCGACACCCACTTGATATTCTTCGTCTTGCACATCTGTTTAAGTTCAGGGACATGCTTTCCTTGCAAACTCTCACGCATCTCAAGTACGAAATCAATCACCCCTTGTTTGGAGCATGAGGCTACCGCTCCTTTCTTCCTTGCCTCAGCATTCCGGGCTTGTCCTTTCTTCCACGGTGGGAGCTTCCGGGTCGATCTTTTGTAGTATACTGTTGTCGTGCTCCAATCTTTTGAACTTTCGGGGGGGGAGGAGGAAGGCGCGCAGTGTGAGGAACGAGGTTCGAGGAGACGGGTCAGTCTCTCTCTCTCTCTCTCTCTCTCTCTCTCTCTTCCGGGTTTGTCCTTTCTTCCGGCTTTGTCCTTTCATCCACGCCAGGAGCTTCGGGAGGAGGTTCGGGGAGGGAGAGGGGAGGTACGCAGTGGGAGGAAGGAGGCTCGGGGAGTGAGGGATGGAGACCAGTGGGTAGAGTCGGGAAAGATGGGGGGTTGGGATGGAGACTGGCGGGAAAGATAGGGG